GCATGAGCTGGCTATTTATAGCCCATTATCTATGGTGGGACAACTTGCACATCCTTGATGCAGGGGCAGGTGGCTTGACCCTTCCTGAACTGAACGGATCAGGTTTTGCTGACTCCCCCTGGAGGCCTTACCCTATTGGAGGAGGGGAAGGAGGGTCAGTCAGCAGAGCAGGTGGGGTTACAAAGAGTGGGAGGAAAGATGAGAGGCAGACCTGTGGTTGGTATGTAAAATGAATAAAAAAATGTCCAAAATGTTTAAATAAATAAAACATAAAAAAGAATGCAACACGTCTTTATATCTAACACAAATGTTGCACAGCATAAACAAATGTAACACATCTTCAGATAATATTCCACAATACCCCTCCCCTCCTTTTCTGTACCTCTCCCTGCCTCAGCTCTCCCTCTCCATCCCTTTTCTGTCCCCTCTAATCCCTGATTATCTTGAACAGGCTTCTCGTTTTTTTGGTTGTTTGCTTTTTGAGACAGAGTTTCTTTGTGCAATACTCCTGCTCAGCAGGTGAGAGCACTTTCTGCTCTTGCTGAGGACCAGGAGTTCAATCCTCAACAACCACCACATGGTGGCTGACGAACAATGTCTGCTGGCCCAATGCCCTCTGCCTCCGGGTTTATCCATCTCTCATGTTCCCTCTAACTTTTCACCCCAGCGCCTCCTTTTCCCCACTTCTCACCTCATCATTGGATAAAAACCTTGTCGGGGTGAGTTGAGTTTGTCTCCACACTCAAGATCCCCCTACCCTCCCAGCAGGACTCTGGACAGCCACTACCAGCTACTACCAGTCACTGCCCCTGCCTGACCCTTGGGACTCCAGTGGGGATGGGGTTGGGATTAGAGACACGGAGAACTGGGCAGCTGTTCACTAAAGGAAAAGAGTGACTGACAACCATGTAGCCTTAAAACACCAATGAGAAATGTTAATCCTAAACTTGGTTAACCAGGGAACCAGTGATTAACCTGGCTTTACCTTCGTAGTCTTATGGTAGATAAAGGCAAAGAAGAGGATTGTTCTGTTTTCTTTGTTCAAAAAGTTCGGCTGCTGTGTGCTTTAGCAGGACATTATCCTGTAGTGTGTGTTTAGGCAAAAGAAGACTGGAAGGTCACCAGGATGTAATTCTGTCTCCAGGTCATTTACGGGTTCAGTCCAGTGTGGTTTCCTATATCCAATTTCTTTTTTTCCCCCAAGATTGGTTAATTGATAGATTGATTGATTGATTGATTGATTGATTATGTGGCCAAAAGAGGGCACCATATCTCTTATAGATGATTTGTGAGCCACCATCTGGTTGCAGGGAATTGAATTCAGGACCTTTGGAATTGCAGCTAGTGTTCTTTACCTCTTAGCCATCTTTCCAGCCCCTATATCCTATTTCTTATGATGAGTGCACAGCACAAGTGTTTAAGTCCAGTTCCTTTGGGGGGGGTGTCTTTTTTTTGAGACAGGTTTTTCTGTAGCTCTGGAGTCTGTCCTGGAACTGGGTCTATAGACCTAGCTGGCGTCCGACTTGCAAAGATCTGCCTATCTCTGCATCTACAGTGCAGGGAATAAAGGCCTGCATGGACACCACCCAGCGAGTCTAGAATTTTTAGAGCAAGATGTTCCCTTTAGTGCCTGTGTGACACTCAGTCTTTCTCACTTCTTTCCTCTCCTAACTCTGTCTTTCTTTCCTTCCCTCCCCATCCCTCCTCTTCCCTTCTTTCCTTTCCATTTTCCTTCCTCATCTCTCCACTCTCCTTCCCCTTTCTGTCCCCTCTACCTCCCTATGTATCTCAGGCTGGCTTCTTCTTTATTTTGATATTGATTTTTTTAAGTTTTTTGAGACAGGGTCTCTTTAACAGTCCTGGATGTCCTGGAACTTGCTTTTAGGCCAGGTTTGACAAGAACTGAAGAGACCTGCTTACCTCTGCCTCTGCTTCTGCATCCCAGAATGCTGGGATGAAAGGCATGGCTGGAATCATCACCCACTCTTCAAGGTGCTTGCTTCCTAGAAAGGTCTTTCCCATTAACCTTCAGTTTCCAGGAATAGACAGGATGATGTTCACTGCAGATCTAGTTATGTTCAGTAGACAGAGAATACAATCACCAAAACTGAGTTCTTTCTATATGTGCTTTATTAGAGGGGGCAGTGAGTAGGGACCACAACCAGGCAGGCAGGGATGGTGTAGGCAATAACTGAGGTGACAAGGCTAACACTTAATGCCTTTGTTCTCCTTGTTGTATGGAGCCTGTGAGAAGCAGATGGCAGCCTCGCGGTCACAGTTGCAGATGAAGGCCTCACAGGGGTCGTTTTCGTCTGGAGAGAAACAAGAAAGGAAGCTGAGTGGAGCCCATGACCCTGCTCCCTATTTTCTATGGCCAAAGGACCCAGTGGCCCTCCCATTGATGCAGCTATGGTCTGAAAGACAACGCACATGGAAGTCCATTGGGTTGTCCAAATTGCTGGAACACACTGATAATATGAACATTAGTTGTTGTGGCTGAGGAGATGGCACAGTTGGTAAAGTGGTTGGCATACAATCATGAGGGCCTGACCTAGAATGCCCAGAGACCATGGAAAAACAAGGTGTGGTTGGGGCATCTGGTACTCTATTGGGAAATGGGAAGCACAGATCCCCAAGATTTGTTGATCAGTCAGGCTATGTAAAGATGAGTGTCCTGTTTAGTGACAGAGAGACCCAGGCTCTAAAGTCATGGTGGAGAATGACTGAAGAAGACACGGGATGCCAACTCATTCCTATACATAAAAATAAACACATATATTTAATCCTAAAACCTATAAAACTAAAATTGTCATCTGGACAGTGGTGGCACATGCCTTTAATCCCAGTGCTTAGGAGGCAAAGGAAGGTGGATCTCTCTGAGTTTGAGGTCAGCCTAGGCTAAAGAGCAAGTTGCAGGACAAGCTCCAAAGCTACACAGAGAAACCCTGTCTCAAAAAAACTACAAGTAATAATTACCACTTATAAAATTGAAGACAATCCTGGCCACAGTCAGGAAAAATCTCTCTCACCTGTCAGTCCTGCAGCCGCTTAGACCCAACCAAGTAAACACGCAGAGACTTATATTGCTTACAAACTGTATGGCCGCAGCAGGCTTCTTGTTATCTAGTTCTTATATCTTAAATTAATCCATTTCTATTAGTCTATAAGTTGCCTAGTGCCTCGTGGCTTACCAGTACCTTACATCTCGCTTTTCATGGCAGTGGCTGACAGTGTCTCTCTTGACCCGTCCAGCAGGCCAGGTTATTCGAGGGTCTCGAGGAGGGACCACCTGTGAATCAATGGGGGGTGAGAGGGAAAGGAGACCAAGCGCGTGAAGAAAGACAAAGCAGTCTGAGTTGCGTCAAGGTCTCGTTTATTGACTGGGTGTTAGAGCTTATAAACAGGGCTTCAGGTAGGGAGGGGGAGCAGGA